CACGAGCATACTGAGAAGTCAATGATTATGACTAAATACCTAGTGGCTTCGTGAATTTCGCTCCCATCAAATACTCCGCAGCCGTGAAGGATCTGTGGGCGTGTAGAGTGATAAAATTGTGACTGATATGAACATACCAAAGCGACTTTTTTAAAACCAGTGTGCGTACTCATGAGGCTAAAATATCGTTGGACAGCTAAACTACGACGAGTTAGCCTCCCACAGATTGGTGTGCAAATCATAAACCAACCGAGCACTTAAGACTAACGGGAAACAAAAAGGGACGCCAAAGTTGGATTTTGATTGGCTTATTTATTTGAATCCACTAGTTGGTGTAGGTAGATCATTTCGCCTGCCATGGCAAATGGAAGCATAATAGGCGCCTAAAATGTATGGGTGGACGTTGTGCCAAAAAAGTGATTATGCATAACTCCTAAGAAGGATAGCTGTCTCGAAGCATTCCTAATATTAGGGCGTTTGTATTTCTAGTTACGGTCTTTTGATTGAATTACTACTGCAAGGAGAATTGTAAAACGAAAAATCTTAGAGCAGTGAATGTTGACCCGACTGTAAAATAAAAGCGCTTTACACATTAATTCATTGACACAAAAATGCAGGATTAACACTTATGAAAGTTAATTAGGGCATCAATATGTTTTTCTATGTATGATGAATGTCGCCTAAGTTGTCAACACAACTGCATTCCAAACTTCCAATATTTACTCCCACACTATTCTCCGCAAAACACCATTACAGAAAAATGCAAAAATATTTGGGGGCTGCATTTTTTGTTATGCAGAGTATTTTACTCGTCTTTTGATGGCGCTGTTGCATAAAAATTGTGAATTTTAGTTCCATTTACGACTGAAAGCAGACGTTACTTAAAGCCGGTAAATGTTGTTAACTTATGCAACATTCCCATTTAACACCTTCTGAGTCGAAACTTTTTAAATTTTTGTTAGTAGGTGGTGCGTTGTTATAATTGTTGGAACCCTTGTTTTTTGTCTACTATATGTTTTGTCGCGCATAGATGACTGGTGATGCACAAATGCGACCAAAGAGAAATTCCAACGTGTGGCAGTCATTGTTGGCATCATTACGCAGCGAAATTTGCAATTTTTCACTACCCATACGAAACAAAAGCTAAGGAACTGTTGTGGTCTACAAATAGTGAAGTAATCATAATTTCGAGTTCATTTGGTAGTATCGTTTGCTTGCTGATACAACACACCGATCTAAATTTTTGTCTGGATGTTCTGCAGTCGGCTCTACCCCTCCGGCTAAAGAAGGAGTTTGGGTTTCTACGATCCTGAAATGTGCTGGTTCTCTTGATCTAGCTATTTGTTTAAGAGAGTTACAAAGAGGTGTTAACAGGAAAAGGTAACAATTTTTAAAAAAGTTCTTTTAGTAGAGCTAAGACGTGCATCAAGGTTTTTGGGACTCAAGGTATTCGCTTTTAGATTTCATGTTGACATTTTTTTGACATTAGAAATAGGTGTTTTTAAGCACATACCCCAACTCTAGATAAGTGCAAGATAGTAGTTAGTTTAATCGAAGCTTTGTGACACTCCTCAAAAACCTTTTCTCAGTTGTTAAGGCAGCTTCTTGAAAATAACTTTCTATCACTACATATTCAAGTAATTGTTCACTAATCTTTCTGTCTTTAGTGCTTAAATCGAACAACGATTATACTAAAGTGAAATCTACCGTGCCACTACAACTTTACTCGCCGGATTTTTGTCATTTACTGAATGATATACGGTATATTCGAGCAACTGGTCTTTACGAAAACGCTAACCGTTTTTTGTGGATTATGTGGACACCAACGAGTTCTAGCACCCTAACAAATTCTTTTGCCGTTAGTAAGTTGACGTTCAGTTCGAGACTTATGGCATCTACTTTCGTAGACCTTTCTCATTTGAGTTTTGCTCTATTTTAGCTAGGTTCAGGCTTCTTAATTCATATGTCTCTACTCATGCCAAGCTTCCATCGGAAGAGTGCTTCCTACGTACGTATGGATTTGTACATGCTTACAAAACTGTAACTAGCTCGTCTTTTTCTACCTAAATTTGTTTGAAAGTGTAAGTCTCAATTTAAGCTCAAAGTAAACTGCCCTGATTTTAATCGCAGTGACACTTTTTATCATCCCACTACAACATGACTAATTCAGCAAGCCATCTCTTCCTCCTCCGACTTAAACTACTTTTAAACTTTAAGGATGTTATTCATTTAGCTTGGGAAAAGGATAAGATCAATCATCTTGCCTTCAAATGGATCGGCAATACCCCACTGCAGCGTGATGTGGAACACATTGCTTACTTTGTTAGAGACCTCGATGGCAAGTTTTGCGTGACCTTTATCATTTGATTAATTAGGGTATTTAGTCCCGTACCTAGGCTGTTTTTAAAGTTTATAGGCCTAAAATATGTCAAAATGTGTTCGCTGCTAGTGGTTGCATCACAGTCTCTACTTCAAATGATAAGTTCGCCTGGATTTATGTTTGACTTGATTGGGACCAAAAACCACTTATTTAATAATATAGGGCTATTTATGCCAACCCTAAATGCAGAGTAGTTTTATGGAGCTCACGGTTGCTGTGTGATGCCCTTACTGATATAAGCTGCAATTACATACGAAATTCTGGCATACTGATTCTTCCACTAAATCCTACATACCTTCGGAATGGACATAGTTCGTTTGATAAAATTGAGCTTTAATTAAGAACTTTAATTAAGAAAATTAAAGTTTGTGTAAGGCGTTAGTCGAGAATCTCACCGCCAGAATTATCTTCGACGTTGTGGTAATTTTTATTGTCTAAGTGGAAATGAGTAGGCAAATACTTTGACAAATTTCTACACAGTGTTTCCATCTGGTTTGATGATTCAGCATTAAATATTTCTAAATTTAGCGCAGTTTTATAATCTTCAAGTTCCAACGGATCATTTGATGGTTTGTTTTATCATTTCCACTAACCCCTTTGGTCTTAATTGAAATCGCAAAAATTGCAGATTTCAGTATTTTTTGTGCATAGATTTGTTTCTCCACTCCAAGAAAGGGAAGTCCTTTAGTGATCCGATTGAAAGGAAGAAGGTGGAAGCTGAAAGCCAATTTCTTACCGATCTTTTGGAGACGATTCGTCCAAAGTGCAGCATACAACCTGTAGAATCGTATATGATTCTGTCACTTTCCCAAATAAATAATTTTGTTCTTGTAATAGGCATAAACTATCCATTCAAGGGATGGAACAAGAAAATTCATGTGTGCCATTTCAGTGGGAGGATCTTTGTAAACAATGGAATGTTTCCATTCAAGAGGCACCAGATGGCCATCAGTTTCTCTATGATGTAAGCTAACGTAAATTAGCACTTGCAGAAGATGTTAAATGCTGATTTAATATCTGGTTTATTCCACATTTTGTTACGTGATGTCAGATATGTTGCGGCGTTTTCGATTCCCTAGCTGGGCTAAACGGGAAAATTGCGAATTTTTATTGTCTTGTACGTTTTAAAAAGAGACTATACATATCATTTGTTCTGATTTGTTGAATTAGGCGCGTTTCTTGCATATAGACGAAATTGACTTGTACGAACGTCCTCCTTTCAATGATAATGGTCCTTCTCATTAACTGCTAAAATATACGGAAATCCTTTTTAAAATCCTAACTTCGCTGAAACACTTTATCTGGAATATTTATTGGGTTTTCTCGGTCTCTCAAAACCCATTTTACACTGTTTGTTTTGTCATAGGCTTAATGCATCTATCTTTAGGTGGAGGATAATCTGTATTTCACTTTATCATTCAGTCCTTATTGTTATTTCGATTGCTCAGTCCACAAAATCTAGTTTCGACTGGCAGTTTATCTGGCCATCTTAAGTAACTTCACCCTTATTTACTGTTAAAATCAATGTTGAATATTCCTCGCGTCCGTCAGAGCTAATCTCGCTAAACATGTATTTACTGAATTGCATGCGTTGATTTCTAGATCATGTTTTGAATTTTAGTAATTACATAGATGCAGAAGCCAAACATTACTGTGCGTGCAATGCTACACAATGACCGTTGAAATTGTAAACATTTGTAACTATCAGTAATAAGTATGCAGTGAATTCGAATGCCATTTGACGGTGAACCAATCTGAGTCTGCCCACTTGCCAAACCACTACTTTAGAATTGCCGCATCTACTTATCACTATCTTAGTTAATTTGGTCGCATTGCAGGGAAGGGTATCCAAAATGCGCGAGCGATCAGCAGCAGTGGCAGAAGGCTCTCCACAAGAGGGTTATTGCTACTCGAAGGCATATCCTAATTCTGAATTAAAATTGGATCCTAATCTCATAAGGAACAGCTCATCGCCGTCTTCTTGTGGACAATACCATCGACTGGCACGCGCTAAGTTTCGAGCACTTAAGTAGTGAGTTTTAGAGATAACTGGGATCGTTGCTTTGCATATTACCCAACTGAATCAAATCGATTGACATAGTCTTGTTAATGGAGACTCCGATTTGATTGCACACGAGCCTATCTTTGCGGCTTTAATATAACTATACAGGCGGTGACTTTTAAGACAGTACCAAATTTATATACGTTCATGATCGAATGCTTGTAGCAACAAAAGGGGCATCTATTGAGTGATGAATTGTAGGCTTGCATTCACTAGGAGTATTGTAGTGACTTCAGGGACAAATCAGTTGATTGCTATTTTGGACAGAGATCCGGAATAATTACTTTGGGTGCAAATTTAGGATGTTAATTTTTTTAAGTAAACCTAGCATACGTTTTGGAATTCTACAAAAACCATTTTTTCTACACCTATCTCCTTTAAAATGCACTTCCTCTAATCAGTGTTAGATGCCACTATCCGAGGGCGAAGTGTATAGTATGCCCTCTGTGTTCAGAACCCGAGGACTTGCAGTATGAGGGTCTTGTCTGTCAGCTACCCGAACACAAGTATTCGGCCTGGTCACTGCATGAGCGCAGCAGCCGTGTCTACAACCCTCTGATCCTGCGCCCCTTCCCCCGCTGGCTTAGATATGACCCCAGAACCGAACCTCTAACTGTGGACCCACCCAGACCTTGCCCGCCATCACTATCTAATCCGAACAGACGAGCTTTCGAGGTTAACCCTCATATTCCTTTTCACCCTCCCATCCTCAAACCTTGCTCCGTCTACAACAAAACCCGCACTCACGCAGATGCAAAGAAAACACGCAATGCAAACGTTAGCAACACTTGCAGGAGGCAGCAGCCTACGAAGCTTCCACCAATTTTATTTGATCGGCTTAAGCTACAGCAAATTTTATGGCAAACACCATAATCATAAGGGCAGCAATGCCCATAAGTGACCCATGAGTGTTCACCTATTCATTTCAAAAGGCTATATCTTTACAAATGCTACAAAAACTCGCCCCTGGAAGGTACAATTCACTGAGTATTACACCTAGATAGGACAAAAATCAGATAAATGTGGGTTTCCACAGAGGAAATTATTGTTAAGATCGAATTAATGAAGAGTCACGGACACTTATTCCTGGTAGGGATATGTGTCAATCACGATCCTTGTGCAGAATGAACAGAGACAGAGCAACTTAAAGGTTGTAATCAGTGGTAAAAGTCAAATAAGTCCTACACACTCTGAAACATCATCCAGAACCACCAAATTCACCTGCACTGGTTCAACCAGAGTGCTTATGCATTTGCAATCCATCTAGCCAATCAAAACTCACGGCCATGTAGGTGCGTACACGCCCTGTCTGACAAACAAGGTCAGAGGATCGAGATCTAGATCCCGTGCGCCTGCGTCCAGTCAGGATTTGCCATGACCAAAATAAAAAAGCAGTTTCACACACAATAATCACACTTACTAACAGGGCAGCTATATCATAGAAAAAAGTTTGCTTGGTGAATTTACAAAAATCAACATGTAGTACAAAAAGCTTGCAGCGACGGGGGTGAGAAGCTACACCAAAACTCAAACGTTGGAAGATTTAAGCTCATTGGGTGCATCCTTCATTGGAGGGAACGAAGGTTCTTGTTGATCCCTACGGCTAGCAGTCTTTTCAGAACTTCTTACAGGGGTTAATCTTTTGTTAATATCAGGAAGATTATCGGGCAACTTAGGATAAGGCGAGGTCACGGACGCCTTCTGGAGTTCCTCCTCATCTTGTGGGTATGGCGGCGAGTCTTCCGGTGGTGCTGTGGGTAGTGGACGATGTTTTGACGAGGCATAACCGCCAGGCTGCAGCTTCATACTCATGAAGTCACCCTCACTAGTGGGACTGCTTGAATAGGGGCCACTCTTCGGGATGTTTCCGCTTTTTTGCGGATCACCATACTCGTTGGCTTTTTCCTTCTTTTGGCCACGGAAATCCTTCCCGAAAAACTGCTTTCTGTAATTGCCAAAGAGACAGCAGACAATTTCTACAGTGATTAGGTCGCCCGCGTTCATAGATAACATTCTCAGTAGGAAATGTCCATCTTGTCTCAGAAACTCGTTGATAAAGCGGTCTATCAAGTCCTTTAATTGCTGGTCATCTCTATTGTAAACATCCGCCATTTTCAGAAAACGTTTAACAAAATGTCTCTGCCGGTACTTTGAAATCCTAAAGACCCAAAGAGGAATGCTAACGACAGTAAAAAGCAGAACACCAGCCAAAAAGAAGTAGAGAAAAATGTATATCTTCTCGTTCAGCATGTTAATAGGCAGAACGCATTGAGCGAACAGATTGTTGCCAGCAGCTACGTGCTGAAGTGTGTGTCGACAGGCGCCGATACGTGGAAATACCTGTGTCTCCGTCCATGGCCTCCCTCTACGAATATCGTCCAAGATTTTCCAGCCAAAGAAGAGGTACCCCTCCCTCTTATCAAAACGAAGGAATGTGTACATGAGATAGAGTTGTGCGATCCCAATAGCAACGTAGAGAATCTTGATAAAGATGTAGTAGTAGATGAGGTTATTGCCATGCCTTTTTCCGGGGAGAAATTGCAGCACCCTAGCCAAGCGTCCGTCCCGACGATAGTGATATTCACGACGATTGAATAGGAGTAGTTCCAGACTTTTCGCCATATGGCGTACTGCTTTCTCGCGTTTTTCCCCATCATCCTTTGCGGCACTGTCGGCTGTTCTGATAAGACTCTGAAGATCTGTCCCTGTTTTGTTGTAGGTAAATATGCTCCAAATTATCCTCGGAACGTAGTAGATGATGGCTTGGAGACCAAGAACCAACGGAACCCATTGGTAATAATCTGCAGATGAGGAGTACTACTTCAATCGCTTGTTCTATAATCAACTACTATATTTATTTTACGCTTTGAAGGGTGGACTTCCATGTTCAATAGATTCTGAGCTTAAAAAGAGCAAAATTCTTCTGAGTCGACTTATTTCGAGACTGTTCCGTGTTTATGCTACGTTAATATCTTACATCTAGCTTAGAAAAACATTCATGTTGACTGTTTGCAGCTAAATTGTTGTGATGGCATAGCGACCATGTGGCGCCAACCCACGCACACAAACCTAAATCAACCAGTTAACTTAGTAATTGCGTAAATTATTAGATTAAACTATGATGCATAAAAGTTGAGGTCATAACACGTTGCCCACCTCTGGTGCATCATGCGTGCTGGTACACAAGCCGTCTCTAACCCATATTGACCTAGTGAGTCACGCAGTCCTCTGACTCATCAGCCAGAAGACGCGAGGGCAAAGTAGCGCACTCACGAGCCACAGCCACCTGACCATTAGATGCAGTAAAATGCAGCTATCGCAATCGCCCGAACAGCAGTAAAGACAAAAACACAGACGGAGGAGATGCTTACTCATGATTCTAGGGTTTGTGGAACTCCACTCCTTGATATCGTGGGGAACAACACCTGAGGTGAGATTGATAGGGAAGGTGCCTTCCACCCAGCAGAGATTCGTAACATATGATTCCGCATTCCCACCACTTACTGTAGTTGGAAGGTAGCAAACCAGTGGAGCCATAAAATACTGTCGAACTGTTACTAAAATCATGCTGATCAAGAGAACAATAACGTTCCACTGGAAATTGGCCCGGTCTGCCAAATCTTCAACTCCAATGTATGTGGTTGCAGAAAATGACTGAATATAGCCCAGGAACTCTGTTGCCACCATTTTAAGGACAGCGTTTCTGAAATAAAGACTGTCAACATTAACGTTTCGCCTTCAAATATTCCAAGTAATCCATTTTTATCCTTCCTGTGGAACAATTCTTTCTGAATAACCATTGCAAAAGCAATAGCTATTGTGGTTCGCAAAAGTTGATAATACTTGGAAGTCAACGTTTTCCCAAAATAGATGAGAACGTAGGTATCAGAACTCTAGACCATAAACAATTTGAGTTGTAACCTTATTTCGCGACAGTTCAGCCCTAAAATCCATGCACACTACGACATCATAACTTTAATCAACTAAATTGAAGTAGCCTAAGATTATCACAAAGGGGTCATAAAACGATAATGGTTCTTACCAACGTACTCCAAAGCAGCACACAAGCCTACCGTAAAAGGCGGAATTGGATGGTTCTGGCTGCAGAGCGCCACAAACTCTATGACCTCGGATGTCCATAGGTGTAAGCGAGAGGACCATTAACGTGCTCCCGCCTGGTAAACGCACAACACTATTTCCACCCATGTCGTCGAAATTTCATCACTCAGAATAATGTCTATTTATTAATTACAGATACACGACGACTAATCAATATCTAATGTTATGGATTAGAAGGAATAGCGGTTATCGAAGCCTTCGCAAAATGAGATTAGTCTAATAAAATCACAAATGCGCTCCATTTACAACGCAAAGCGTGTTCAGTTGTATTTGGAGTCCAAATGAGAACGACATTAACAGTACCTATCACACGAAAGCAACTAATGACCGGTAAATTGGGATGCAAACACGGGCACCTGTTAAATCAAAATTAGGTGCTTTAATTGCATTGATTGCGTCGCACTCTCAGCCATGAATGTTTATATAAGCTACAGACATGCACAAATATACTAAAATAAATTGACTTCGTGCAATCAGAAAAGAGCCAGAAAACCCAAATACGGGTTAACATTAATACACTCGTTCCCCGATGTTCGTACATCCACTACCTTGAGTAGCATTTGTGTATCAAACATAACATGGGATAAAATCGTTTATTTAACCATGAGTGTCAGTTACAGCAACAAAAAAACGATTACGAAAACGCAACAAAGAACTCACGCAGCCCCAAGCCGACCTTGATACGAATGAGGTTTATCTCATATCATCATAACACACAGCTCTAGCCTTAGTCTAGCAACTTATTTAGGCTTCTGATTGGCTAACTGCAAATCGTGACCTTAAGCACGGCCCTGATTGGCGGGCAGTCTGGCGGACATGTGTGCATGTTCGTCGTCCTACCTACACCCGTGGTTGACCCGTACGGTCCCGCTAGAGAGACTTTCGGCCATCGCGTATATCCTGGACTGACCCCAAACTCCCGTCTAGCATCGGTAGAAAACGCGTAGGCACACCAATTAGGCCTTAAATACTGGGCGGAAGTCCGAAGTTGCTAGACTTAGAATGCCAAGTTTTAATATTTTCTTGATGAATGGTGAAAGTGTTTTTGTCATGCTCATTTACTCTAGTGTTTTAGGGGGAACTGTTTGATTCTAGTGTTGATCAGTTCTGTTTATTAATCTCTTCAATCTTGCGGTAATAAATTTTCAACTAGTGTAACTGCTATTCCAATATTCGTGGTGAAACGAGTAAATTTTTCTGAGGTTGGAATCAGTTTGCGCTCACCAATTCGTGTGTCGAAATTCTCCTCTTGTTTCTGACGACTCACGCCAACGGTAAAGCGAATTACGTCGATTCGCGGCAGCATCTTCAAAATTGACGGTGTTCAGAAAACCCACCACATTGCCAACAAGTCATCTTATACACCAAGTTACACATCTGTCTAGCCGACTACAAAATCTCACTTAGTCTTGTCTTATGAACCTTCCGAAGCAAAGTGAAAAAATGTGGAAGAAGCAATAAATTTCTGAAGAGATGATCCTCTTTTGCAAAACTCTACCACTACAAGAGGTAATTAATTTGAAGATTAGTGGATAATATACCAACTTCCCAGTAGATGGGGCTCACTGGTGGATTATCAGATGGTTGCTTGACATGAAAGAAGGTGCTCTAACACTCGATTCCAATATAATAGTTCCATTTACTAGAAAGTTGAGCTCAATTGTGACCTGATAAGTTCCCTTTGTGAGAATAGGCAATATTTAAAAGTGGCTCGATGAAATTTCAATTTGGATAATTGCGCCTGCATTCAATTACAGGTGAAGAAGATACGTCCAGGAAGAGTGGGTTACCGCTGTTTAGACGTTTTCACTTAATTGCTGCCGTGTTTACTCAGTAGTGTGTGAAGATGCCACTTAAGCTGACACAAATAACAAGAGTGAACAGACGCGCTTGACCTTTCCTGTCCCGCGTGAAAGGCACCAGTGGTTAGTAGTGGAGAAGGACCCTGCAAATCTACGTTGTCTCAGTCCCCACCCATAAATTTAAGCTGATCACCAAACAGAAGGGGTTCTAAGTGTGTTGTGAAAGCAATGGATAATACGCAGTAGGAATAATTCGAATTCAGAAAATGTGAATCATATAGAATTGGCCAATTTGAGTTGGTTCAACTTATTTACGAATTTACATTCGTAGCGTAAGCGTGGAGAGACTGCAGTAATGACGAGAATAACATTTAAATTTTGACTGATTCGAGGCAAATAGAACTTTCTTCATGATAAAAGATTTAATGTTTGAATGTTGGATAATTTTGTGAAGCATTGGTTGTTTGTTGAGCGCCCGATTTTGGAAAAGGCGCTACTTAGGTGCTCTGCCGATGTACCTTCATCAGGTGGGTTGGCCCTCGCGCATTGTCTGCTTTCGTCTTCAGGGAAGTCTCGGGGTGCTACAAGGTCATGGTAACAAATTTCGTTTTACCTATTTTTAGTAATTCTAAGGCAATCTATGGATCTATTAAAAAGTTGCAGTTGTTCGAAAATGCATGCGATGTTTTCATGCGTCACTAGAGATCCAAAAATCAAGTAAGTGACAGTGGAAGATTGTTGATTTCTTCATATTCAAATCTCTTTGTCGGAAGCTATGCTCTATTCACGTAATCCTGTCACAGGCTTGCATTTTATGAAACTTAGGGCAAATTAACTTAGAAGCGGTCTTTAGTCTCCACTAATGTTCACAATTAATTTTAAAAATATTCCCTATTCTCGTCAATGCAGCATGCAGAGCAATCTTGACCTATAAACCTATGGTTGTTTCTGCATAGTGATGGTATCAAGCCAGGTGGTGCTACAGGGCTGAGTGCACTTTAATGATAAGCAGAGGGAATCGGGCCGTTATAGCGTTTAATTACGGCTATTGAGTTACTTGCATTCTAACCCATCATTTTCAAGGCTATCTTCTATTACCTCCACCGGAAATGCTACTTTAAACAACAAATGTTAAAGTAAGCTAATTTCCCTAACTTAGTCTTAGCAATTGGTAAGACGCCGTGCCATTTATATCCACTCTCAGGTAAAACGAATAAACATCCAGAAGAGGCTGAACTTTTATCGTTATGATCCTTCTTACTATTACAAATCGAGGGGCCTTTGTCATACTGCGAACAGCATCAATGGAAATGTGTACGTGCAGCTCACCGGAAGTTTGCTTGCCCTTCTTCTAACCATTTAACGAAATAAACATGATTAGGCCATAAATGCAGTTATCAGCATGGGAGATAAATATGCGTTTGAAATCACCCAGAAGTATTCACTCTTTCACCTAAAATTTCAATCATTTGGACTCCAGACTCCATAGGATATAGAGCAAAGTAGGTGACTACTTATTCCATCCATTTCTGTGTTAGGCGCAGCACTGTCCTGCTTTCATAGGACAGAAAGTATACAATTTTTTCAAAACTTTTGATATCGATGGCTTTAGTGAAGGCAGGAAATCAAGAATCATCAGGTAGCCAAAAAGTATGAGAGAATTAGCGTTTGCCTGTTGCCCTATGCCCAAAGACATTCAGCCCCAATCTCACAGGATATGATAGCAATCCATTTTTACTATCGAATCACACAACATTTTGAGGTGGAATAGTTAAAAATCATGCCAATGTTCAAAACCAGAGTTAATAGAGAAACCCCGTAAAAAGATTTGTTGTTCACCACATATTTATTGACCTAGAAGGAAACTGACACAGGGCAAGTACAGTATCGCTATCAGAAATCAGTTTCTAATCATCATCCACAATCTTTAATGAGCTCGGAGATTATTGTACACGTCGGAAGAAGATTTGTCATTTGAAGAGAAAAGCGCGCGCAAAAACGTCTTTTACAAAAATATTCTTGACTTTTGTAAGATGTTGATAGCAAAATGATATAAGGAATTTGCTCCGCAAAGAAATGCAAGTGTTAGTAGTGATCCAGCGCACACTGACAAAAACCATTCGAGAGCCCTTTGTTGACGGTACTAAAGTAAACACATTTTGCATACGGTCAGAACAACACGAAAAGCTACACTTAAAATTTAGTCTGGTCAGATTTTAAGGTGAATCCAGGCTGTCAAAATAAGCCTTTGTTTGAAGGTATTGTTACGTTGATTTATTAAAAATACAAACTGGAATTTTTTGCTGGTTAAGCAAACGATTTCAAATTTCAAATGAAACCTACTAACAGAGATCAAGAGAAAGTGCTGTCATTATTCAATGATAATGTTGTCAGGCGTTATCATTATCCGCTTAATGCAACCTGTGTACGGATGCCAATGCTCCCGGCCTTGGACGGTGAAAAGTCATGCAAGATCTTTCCATCATATACAAAGATTGGGTTTTTTGACATTTAGATGAGTATTAAACTATTCAGTCGGTTGTCGAAATGATGTAAACAAAAAATACGTCTCTTCACATGGTGTTAGTAAGCTATATTTGACGAAACACGTCTTGCGTCACATCCTTAACATTACCCGGATCTAGCAACTATTTCTGCGGGCAAAAGCGATCGGTCATGAGCACATGCAATAAACGGATGTTGCAATGCAGCACCAGTTACCTCTATAAATCAGTGAGATTCGTGTTAAATATGCCCTCATTTGGA